CTCGGCGGAGCAGGCCTGGGTGTCCATCAGCACGGCCGAGTCCGTCAGAAAGGACCCTGCGGTCTTGGTGTGAAGCCGGCCCTTCACCGGAAGACGCACACACTCGTAGCGGTGCCCTTTCCCATGCTCATCCACGAACTTGTAATTCGCCGTGATCTTCTTGAGTTGCTCGAAGGCCTCGTCGTTGGTGCGGGTCGACTGACCCACAAAGATGTACTTTCCGACGGGGAAGATGTCACCGCCGTCGGTGTGGGCGGGCTTTTCGAGGGTGTAGGTGTGGCCTGGCCGGAGAAACTCAATCCAGCGCCGGGAATGCTCGGCCTCCCCACGTCGGCTTTCGGCTCCCGCGCGTGGGATGACAACGCAACCATCGTAGAACATCGCAACATCCTCCATGAACATGGAGTCAGGGTAATCCATCAGAGCGGGCAGACGAATCAACTCGACATCATACCCCTCCTTGATGAGCTTCTCGAAAACGCCAACATAGGCGTCGTGCTGCTTTACAACCTTGTCGTAGTCAATCGGATCTCGAGATATGTGCGTCAATTCACACTTCTTGATTGCAGGAGAGACCTCGCGTGTGATAACAGTTAGGTGGACCATCTTGACTGAAGAAGAGTGTAGAATATTGCTTTGAAAATAAATTTGAGTTAACACTTAGTTAGGCTAAAAATAATTAAATAATCTGTAAAGTTTTATCTATACGTTTAAAAATAAGACAAGAGAAGTTAATTCAAGATGGATAAAACAAAAAGTCAGATCAATGTGTATATTAACTCTACATACACAAAACCTTTAAGAGTATAGTACTCAAAAGATTCATATAGCATGAATACATCGTAATATAGTGTTGTTTGATGTGAAGCAGTATAATGATAAACCACGCGCATATTGTTAAAAAGTTCTCCTTTTTTTTCCAATGCAAGATTACTCACATTTAACTTTTGAGAGGGAAAGAATATACTACGCACTGTTTAAAATAAAATCCTAAAAGTTGGTCTCGCCAAAAGCCAAAAAGTTTCCAGAAAGAGGATGAGAGTGGAGACGTACTTAAAAAAGCTAAGCTCCACATCAGTAAAATCCCGCGCTAAAGTCATCATGATCGTAATATAGATTATTGGGTTCATCATGAGGCCCAAACTCATGTCTAGGGACCGCAAGAATTTTTCACATCGCCCAGATGCTCAGCTTTTATGTTTCCAATGGTATTTCGTTTTTTTTCTGTGTTTGGGATGGAGGGAAGGAGAGGAAAGGAAGGGCGATAAGTCATTTATGCCTTGAAAATAACGATGTCCTAGGTGACAAACTAAGCCATTGGGGCATTGGTCCCAAGCAAACCAAACTCTCACCTTCAAACGGAGCTATGTGGTGAACACAGTAAAACAAGGACAAACTGACGAAAGGACATATTACGGGAAAATAGAACTCCAATAAAGGCTAGTCAATGAGCGTAAAACTCTAGCGGGTGGAAAGAAAAAGCTCTACTAAATATATCGAATTGACTATAATAGTTATACTTTTTTTATTAAAAAAAACTATAAGTAATAAAAGTCTCTCCCCTCACCACCTGTCCAGGAGTGCTAAAAAGAAATTAAGAATATCAAATGGGTTAAAAAAAAGGAAAAAAACTATAGATACCTTATTTATGAGATTAGGACCATGTTTTTACTCCTCTGATTATTCTTTTAAATCATGAGAAATCTAAAATTAGGACTCCTCGACGCCTAATGATTTGTAAAAAAAAGTAAAACAATAATAAAGTAAGGTTGCACAACAAAATAGATGATGCGAAAGCAGAAGGATGGTAAGTGAGAAGATAATAAAGCCATCACATTACTCCCCCCACAAAAAAAAAGGGAGAAAAAAAGGACGTCAATATATTATCATCACCCTCAAACTGCTCCTCACATACCCCTCTAAGACTCTTTCTTTCTTCCCTGTCTTACCCTGCCCAGTTGAATTCGCGCGGGTGATGCC